GGAGCCCGCAGGCAGCGGTCCGCCACCTCGACCTCCGGGGCGAGAAAAGCTGCTCCCGGTGCCCCTGGTCTGCTGGGGACCGTCCCCAGCAGACCAGGGACACCGGGAGCAAAGCCGCAGCAGGGTCCCCCGCCTCTGAGGCTTTGCCAGAGCAAAGCCTCAGAGGCGTGAGACCCCTCCGCCTCCCTGGCTTTGCTCCCTGGACAGTCCCCAGCAGGCATGGGGCACCCGGAGCAGCTTTTCTCGCCCCCGGAGGTCGAGGTGGCGGGACCGCTGCGCTCTGGGCAGTCCCGCTGCCTGCGAGCTCCGGGGCGAGAAAGCCCCATTCGTAAGTGCGGATCCGACATAAGTCGGATCCGCGTAACTGGAGGACTGCCTGTACATGAAAGGAACAACATAGGAACTTGAGACATGTTACCTCAGGATACTGTAAATTTGAAATAAAATATGAATATAGTTAACTTGAATATTATATTTGGATAAAGTGTTTTCTATAAAATATGGTGGGAGCCTGTACTTCTTGGGGAATAAACTCCTATTGAGATAAATGAACCTCATAAGACTCAGTGGAAGTTGTGTGGCATAGTCCCACACATCAATTGTACAATGAAATCGCAGATAGACCCCAGTGGCCCCTGGGTATGCCGTGGTGGCCCTTGGAGGTGGGGGTACATGGCGCTATAGACTGACCCTTTGTTGGCATCACTCCCTCAGCTTCCATTGGCTATAGTTCCCTGTGCTGTCCAATAGGAGCTATGGATGCAGTGCTGGCAGGCAGGAGCAGCAGGCCCAAAGCCCTTCCTCCGCTCCTCCCATGGAAGCGGTGTGAAGCAGGAACAGATAGGGACTTGAGAACCTGCCTTGATGGTAGCCCGACTATACCACCAGAGATTGCAATCTAGCAGGAAAGTCCCAGGATCAACCAGGATCAATTGCAATGGACCAGGTGATGACCACTGATCTTGTTTTGCACTACGGAAAAACAATTTTCACATTTACCATGAGAAAAGTGCTCCACTTCCTTGTGCAAGAAAATTTAGAAGTCTACCTGTGTTAATATGAAATAAGTCCCCCCCCCCTTCCCAAAAAAGCGTTATTTGTGATATCTTAGCACTCAGCTTACTCGTGTGTTGAGGATTCTGGATATCAGGTGACCTATAATAATTCAATTATATGGTTGACAGGACAATACCTTGTCATACTCAATGGATCTAAGATATATCATTAGAAAGTTCTTCACCAACCTGCTGAATACAGAGCTTGAACTCTCTCCAAGTATTCATTTATCTTCTCTTGAATATTTTCCAAGTTTGAGCCTGCCATTTCAGCATAAATCAAAGCTTGCGCAGCTTCCTAGGGGAAAGTCAACATGTAATAAACATGCCTGATTCATGAAGAAATCCTTCCTGCAATACTGGGTTCTAAGCTTGCAATGAGCTCTATGCATATGAGCCCCTGTGCCCTCAATGACTTCAAGGAGGATCTGCCTGCACAAAACATGTCTGAATCACAACCAAGGCCTCTGTTTCTTTTCCTTCCACTAAATATTTTAGCACGAGGTAACCTGCAAATTCAGAATGAACTTCTTGAGATTTAATATAGCCATATCCTAGGCCCTTGTATACTGGATTGAAGCATTAGCTTAACCAAATAGATTTTTTTTAATCAACCTAACTGAACTATCACAAACACATCCACACTTAAATCAATGAAAACTTTAGCCCAAGTCATTAAAGCCCTGGTCCTTAAAGATATTATGTGCCACTGAAGCCAAGTCTCCCACCACCTAAAAAAAAAGAAAAAAAAAAGACGCCTATCCATTCAATACTCAATTATCTGTATTATTTAATGATGCTTAGTTATCTTTATATAAGTGGAGACTCAGGGGAAAAGAATAATGTACTAGAACAGAACTAAACTAGAACTTGCCACTTCAGCATAATCCAAATAATTCAGAGGAAGTGATGCCTAGCAGCTGTGGCTGAAGACTAGAGTCCAGGATTTTATTCTTAGAGCCATCAATGTAGTGTGAGACCGTAGGTAGATCATGTAAGCAGTCCATGCTAACCTCACACAAATGTACATACACTTGGCATTAAAACAGAGACTGCATAGTGCAATCAACTTTGTAAAATGCTGCTAGATGAAAGGCTCTATAAGTGCCAAGAATCATTATATGGGAACATACAAATAGTATATCATTTGAAATCATTCCCTTTCATGACCTTGCATTGGGGCTTCACTAGTTTGGTGGTTACTGTTTTATCATAAACAATATAGCTAAGACTGATTGCTGCTGTGTACTTAATAGCCTAAATCTGTTCACTTTCAGTTTTCTAGCATACTCTGGTCTCAGATCTCTTATGCTATAAACAGATACATATTCCCGCTTCAGTACAGCACAGACCCAAAGGAAAAATGAGTTAGGGAGAGGAGAGCAGTGAAATGGTACCAGAAAAAGGAAAGAAAAATATTGCATTTCTCTCCCTGTTACAACGAGATCACATTAAGATTCCTGACGTGCAATAGTAAGGTAAAGTTTCTGTGGGCTGGAACTCCCTCGACTCCCCATTTATAAGTAGCTTCCTGATGACAAGTCAACCAGTTTCAAAATACACAGGCAGATTATTAGTAGCTACAGTCTAAAAATAACCAGGGAAACCATATTTCTGAACTTGTACTTACAGATACAAGTTAGCCAGATGTATCACCCTTAGGCTAAGCACGGGGACCTTTTTTGGGTCAGTGGCTACTGACCCACAGAAAAAAATGAGTCGAAGGTTAAAAAAAAGAGACAAGCCCTTATTGATATGGTCCCCCTGCTAAGAAGCAGAAAGACATTCCAAGCCTCAAGGGCCAAATCTACCCCCAGGCCACAAACAAATGTCTCCAAGTAATCATAGAATTATAGGACTGGAAGGGACTTCGAGAGGTCATCGAGTCCAGCCCCCCGCCCTCAAGGCAGGACCACGCTCCACCTACACCATCCCTGACAGGTGTCTATCTAACCTGTTCTTAAATATCTCCAGAGAGGTATGTACCTCAAACCGCAGGTTAGAAAAACGGGTGGGGATGAAATAAAGACACTCCCCCTCTCTAAGCAGATCAGAAGATGTTCAACACTCACTGCTCGGTTGGATGGGGGACAGGAGTGGAAACAAACAGCCATGGGATCCGGATAACTCAGCTTCCCTAAGGTGCCATTTTACACCTCACCCCCTGCATTCAGGGAGAAGCCCCCGCGAAGCAGCCGCCTAAGTCCCTTCCATGCCCGCCTGGCAGCCCA